CATTACAGTATAAATATAAGCTAACACACCAGTAACCTTGTAACAATTACCTACCCTTTGACTGTTTTTGTTGTGCAGGCAAATGAAATATATGGGAAGAGTATGGACACTTATATAAGTAAGAATATTTACAAATATGCAGAAGTCAAGTCCTACTGAAGATGTTAGAATGGTCAAAGATGCAATTCCACTTATATTGCTTTAGTTCAAATAATATAAATGGGAATTTTATCTCTGACCATTCCGATAAACAGAAGGGCTAATTATATCTGAGTAATCTAAGAGTAGTTTTCAATCTCAAGGAGATCTGAGTTGCAGAAACTCAGATAGCCACTAGATGGCCTCAAGGCCATCTAGTGGCTGTCTGAGTTTCTGCAACTCAGATACAATAGTCCTAATGAATGACAATACATAGTCATTTTATCATCATCACCTCTCCAAAACAGCAGGCATTCTCTTTGCAATTGAGGGTAATCTAATTCAGAATTTAATTCTCCTCCTCCAGATGATTTGGACTACATAAAGTTCAAATGAAATGGCCAATAAACAATAATGATTGAAGTTAAAGGTATGATTTTCAAAACATCCAGAGTGCATCACTCCTAATTTAAAACGTGCTTCCCTAATTATAGTACTATATATGCTCCAGTTTGCCCAGTAAGCAAGCACATAACCGTTCTATCTGGGCAACATCATACCTGAAAATATTATTGTAGTTAGAAAATTACTGTAACAAACTGAATAAAAATGCCATTGCTATGCATCTGCCAGAAAAATTAATATTATACTAAATATCTTGGGTTCATAAATATACATATGCTGCGGGAGCACCTAGTTCCTTGAAACCCCTTCCCAGTCATTTATACATTACAGTAGCAGGTTCGGCTATATAAGCAGTTATCAACAATAAACTGGGATGAGGAAAGGATTTAGAAAATAATATTAAACATAATTGGGGCAGTGTATTTTTCTCCTCAGTAGGCTTTTGAGTGCCTTGCTTAGATTCTGAAAGTGAAATTAGGAGGAAACCAACAACCTAACATGTTTCTCCTAATGTTTACTGTTCAGTTTATAGATTTCAAGGACCTGGCATTTCAGCTCCAGCCGTGATGATCTGGAGTTGAATAAATACACTTTTATTCAGTTCTTATTGCATAACAGGTTAGAAAGCACTATTTTCAGAACAAGTCATTTCAGCAAGAATAGCCTAAAGACATTGTTTTAAATTTTAAATTGAGATTTAACTTCTGTGTAAAAATTGTGATGTTGGATTCGGACAGGCTAAACAAAGAGTTCAGCTGACTGTATCAAATGTAAAGGAGAACAAAATAAAAAAACAGCAGATAAATAGGCAGAACCAGTAAGAAATGGCCTCCCATAGTAAGTCCTAATGATTAAAGTTAAGACTGATTCCATCTATAGTTATCAGTAATGTCTGTAAAGAAAATAGAAGCTCTGTGGGACTACTCAGTTTGGTTTATATATTTCATTGACTAAATTCAAACCAGTTGACTTGGCAATAGGCACAGAATATTTGATAGGATTTTAATTTGGCTCATATCTAAATGGACATTTCCAAAAAGAAGGCTTTAGAAACAAATGTAGCATGGAAGAGGCCTTATGCTCATGGCATCTGTAGCACACCACTTTTAATATATGCTAATATACCTAGGCCCTTTTTTCCTCCTTCCTATAACATCACAATTATATTTCAAGACACCTTGAATGCTTGTATAAGTCGACAAGCATGATATAAATCTAAATGAATATATTAGGAAATCTCAACGTGCTGCATTCAATAGCCAAGCTTGAACTAGAAGCCCCTTCCATTCTGTCAGATCTGGGGCACAAATCTTTGATTGCCCCTTTCTCCTAGTTGTACATTGGAAATGCAAATGAAAAATATTCCCAAACAAAAACTGCCATCTTCTGTTTCTTGCCAGCAAGTTTCATTATTGCAATTGCTTAGCTTAAGTCAAGTGATATTTTGGCCCTTTTTTCTTCTTGTTTTTAGTTTAGCCATTCAGCAAAATCGGACACTGAGTATCTCAAACATATTTCTCTTAGAGTTAAGAACCAATTTGTACAACAAGCTTAGACAGAGGACAAGAAAATGGGGCTAGCTAAATCGAATCAGTAATTATGAAAGGAGGCCACTGATCTATCCGGGTCCCACTCTAAATAGAAATCATTTGTGGGTCACCTGGGAAGCCTTTGTTGTAGGAATTAGGGAAGAAAAATGGTGGCAGAAGAGCACGACTACTAACAAGGAACCAAGCAGACTTGCAGGAGGAGGTTAATCAAAAAAAAAAAAAAATTAAGCAGTTTTGCAGATGTGTCATGCAAGATGCAACATCCTATATAATCTAAATGAAATACAATAATATATAAAGGAGTCAAGGGAAAAAAAGCAATTTATTAGTGCAGTCAGCACAATTGAACAATAAAACACAAAATGCAACCAATGATTTGGATACTGGCAGAAGACATGACAGGTTCTATTGGATGTTTTAGAGCACAAGGAAGAGCGACAGCAGGACACTGAGGAGAAAGACAAGGTGTATTAGGAGAACAACGTTAAGAGATGCAGATAGCTCAAGATGCAGTTATTAGGTTGGATTTAGCAGCTTTTTTTTTTTAAATTCCTGAGCAACAGGGACTTTTGGTTAGAAGTAATTTCCAACAAATAAAAACCCCTTTCAAAACATGCCATATTACAGACATGAACACAACCCATTCCACCCTTAAAACTGACCTGATTTTTGATGCACATTCCAAGTGTTTTAACATGACTTACAAAGAGAAGTACTATTCAAAAAACTTTTTAAAGATACTTGTAAGTAATAATTCACAGCACTAGAAACAGTTATCAGAGACAGACTTGGTTTCTAAAACAAAACTCTACCATCAAAGGGGTGTGGATGAGGAAGAAGAGAGAGGAAGAGCATAAAGCAGTAAGTCAGCAAAGATTAAAATGGAAGATTGCAGGAAATGAGGACCCAGCAGTGCTGAAAAATGATGCAAAGCCTATCGGTCAGATTTGCAAAGGCCACCAAACTGAGTCTTCAAAGCACAGGCATTTCCCATAAAAGAAAATCTGAAACAGCATCTGCCTGGCAAATATTGAGAATTAATCACAATCTTTATTTGTACAAATGGTGAAAGGAGTTTCTTTTGTTAGGTGACTGAAATTGAACTACTGTATATTCCCCCAAGGTCCCCTCTCTCTTCTCTTTCATAGAAGACAAGATTGCCAGTAACCAACAGGAACGAGAACCATATTGCTATAACATGGATTCTCCATCATGGGCTCATCATGTAGTGTTAGGCCGCTTACTATTGCACATAATGAGAAAGTTTCTCATGCTTCTTTTGGTGAGAGCACAAGGAGGTCTTCTCAAGCCATTGTTCCTACTGAGGATTTCTGGGAGCACTTTTTTTTTTTTTTTTACCCCAGACATCTGAAGAAGCAACTGTTTATATGACATGATCCAAATTCTGCATCATTGCAAACCTCTTATAGCAGAGCACTAAGAAAATTAAACGCTAGGAGAAGGAAGTCAAGCCTGGTTTAAATATTCCTAGTTAGAGAAGAATGTTTAGCCAGTGTAACATATGAAAGCTGCTCAGTATAGCAAAACACTTCAATCAGAGCAGTTTAACTGCTCCTTTATCGATGCATTTATTCCTTGTTCTCAAGAACTCCAGCACAAATGTTTTAAGCAATTAACAAATATTTAAAGCATTGGAAGGAAGTTGCTCTCTATATAAAAACAGAAACCGAGACGGCAAATAAATTAAATTTGACAGGTAAAGCTAAAACTGAAGACATTCCTAGCTACTGTATTTTTTAAAAAAAATCAAAAGGAAAAACATACAAGCACAAAAATAATACAAAAAGACTAAGCACACTCATCAAAATGTGAAAAAAAGAAAATAAATACAGATGATTTTTCCCAAAATAGGCAAACGTAACGAGACTAGATAAATCTGAGTTCATTCTCTTTTTTGTGTTTTCTTCAAAAGGTGATGAAGTTGATACAACTTTAAATGGCACATGCAATTTAGAGGGACCATTTCTGATCAGGTGGAGTGATGTATACGATTGAAGGCTTGCTTCTTATCAGAAAGGAGAAGTCCGCAAAGCTTCGGCAACCTTTCAAGAGCATGGAGAAAACTGAGCTCTAGGCTTCAGGAGAATCACATTTCATTCTGCAGAGGTGGCAACGATGCAACAAAGCTAAAGAATATGACTTCCTTTGAAAATCAAGCCACAATAGGAGAGGACTGCTTCTTATACAATGTAAACGCATCCCAAATGAGTTGCAGATTGTTCTCCAAATGACGCAGCTTTTTGGCTCCACAAGACAGTTGAAGTATCTACTGATGTATACATTTGGCATTACTTGCAACTCCGACTTGGCATCTACGTTCTCACGTTTCACTCTTCCCTTCACTCAAAATCCTTCTCCACATAAAAGCTGAAGACGTTATCTTAAAAGCACTGTGTAAATCCCTTTATTTCACGGGCCACAGTGGAAAAGCATATGGTTTATACAGAGATGCCTTCGACAAGAGAAGCCAAACAGTCTGCGAAGTGGTGGGCTAAAATTCTTCAGAATAAATTTCAGCTTCTCAAAATCTTAAGTCATGGTTTATAGATCCCAAAACAGGAACCAGGCTATTTAGGCCAATAATCAGGAGTTCAAAGACTTTATAGGACTGAAGATCGCTGCTCTTTCTGGAGCAGGGAGAAATTTGTTGTGCTCCTTTGTAGACATTTGGAAATCTCCGTCAACATCAGACCAGGGTTAATGACCCATAAGGAGAAGGGAGTGCAGCATGGCATTTTGCATAAATTCCTGGGCTTCATGCCCAGTATAATTACGGAGTAGCATTTTATTCAACGAAGAGAAGAGTGATGCCCTGATACAGCACAATAGAACAGAATCAGTTGGCTTAGACATGGAGGGCGTGTGTGTGTATGTGTGTATATATATATATATATTTTCAAGCACACAGTTTCATAATCTCTGTTGAGTCTTTAAATTTCTTCCACTCCATGTGCAAATATCATCACCAGGCCTGGCTCTAGCACCATCTCCTCTCCCATGTGCTGATTCTCACAGGCCATCACAACCACAGCCTGCTTGCCTGGGATGCGTTTGGCTACATAGTTTTCATAATAGCGTCGGTTCATCTGGCGAGTTTCTAGGGTGGCCAGGCCTTGGGGCCAGTTCCGTTCATGGGCATTTTCTATCAATTCATTGATGATGGATGTGGGGCAGCCACTTTCCACCAAGGAACGCTTGATTACAGCTTGGAGTACAGCATCTGGTGTAGAGATCATACCACCCCACCGGGTTACCCGGGCTGGCTGCAAGGAATTCACCCACCTAGGAGTCAAGTGAAAAGAGTCATACAATGAGGAAAGAAAAACAGATGAAACCATAGTACTACAATGAAAGCCTGGAGAGCAAGATTTCTTCCATTGTATTTCTGATCCAGTGGATGATGGTTCCCTGGCAAACAATCATGATGAGTAGCGTTCAGGTCTATTTGGGCTATTCCCTGCACTAGGCACCAAGTGTTATTTCTAACATGAAATTAACATCTAGGGAACCAGAAAGCCACCAGGCAAATATTCCAAATTTTCACTTTTAAAAAAATATTTCCTCCAAATTTCATACAGTGATCTTGGAGATGTTTTGAAGGCTTATTTCCTTTATGGCAGCCATGAAGAATCTGGGTTCATCCAAGCACTCCTGATCCCCTAGTACAGTGGTTCTCAACCTGTGGGTCGGACCCCATTTGGGGTCGATCGACCATTTCACGGGGGTCGCCAAGCAAGGCTGTCTGCCATTTTTTTTGTCTGCCATTTTTTCCCCCTTTTCCGGCGGGTGCCTTACCTCCCTTGGGCTGGACCAGCTGGTGGTCGGCCTGCTCCGTCTCTGCCGCTTGCCAGCTACGCCTCGGCCGGCGCAGGGGGCAGAACCACGCATGCGCGGCGCTCCCGGGCAGGGAAAGTCCTCGACTTACGACCGGTTTAGTCCTCGACTTACGACTGGTTTAGTCCTCGACTTACGACCAGTTTAGTCCTGACTTACGACTGGTTGGGGTCGCGGCATTAAAAAGGTTGAGAACCACTGCCCTAGTAAAACTAACCTGCATAGCCACAGATGAGGAAATTGACCTATTGGATCTCCTATTGAGCCTCATAAGTTGTGATCTCTCTAGAACGATCTCTCATTTCTGTGGCTCTACACTGTGTAGGATGATGCACCAAGACATATCCTGAAATCACAGCTTCTGAGGTTTACTCTTAAGGCTGTGACATTATGAATTTTTCTAGCATTGCTGCCAATTCTATTTGTCCTAATTTGTTTGGGAATATATTTTATCTACATAATCACTTGTGTACCACCCATTTCCAAGGACCCAGGTGGTTTATACAGTCAGGCCCTTTTTAAATGAGAACTGTGAAGCCTCAAAGCTTAATTATTGTAACAATGGGATATCAAAGTGGTATCCATTGTTAATTCAGACATGTTCTTTGGCACTGAACAAGATCTCCACTCCTTTGACTATTTTTTAACATTTAAAATATCTGATTTTAATATTTTGAACATTTGTTCAGTATCTTAACATTAATATTAACATTCTGTGTCTTCACCAATTAGACGTTAGTCTATGTTCTAAGGTCTGTAGATTTCAAGACAGTAAGAGATCAATGCTTCAAAAATAAAATCTGAACATGTCACCTTGACATTTGTAATTAATATTAAATCAGCCCCAATTTATCTCCTGTTTATTATACTGATACAAGCAGCAACCATCTAATTAAATGTTCAAGCTACTGTAGTGGCTCAGGAAATGAAGAGAAAACATGTTACTTGCTTGCAATTCATGAATTCATTATCTCAACAAGTTATCAGCTCATTGAATATTTGGATTTGAAATCAGTTTCACTTTATGTTTGAAAGCTACTATTATCCTGAGAAACAACTTCCACAACTGGAAAGAGATTATCTACTCTTAGCTAGCATGGTGGGAGCGGAGGGTGGAGATTCATTCTCCGAGCTTGTGGGTTGGTTTCTAAACATTTTGTTACCAGGCTAGGCAACATCTTCAGCGGAATTTATGGGAAGTCAGTGTCGGTGTTCTGCTCATAAGGGCTTCATGCAGTCAGTAGGGTCTTGTGATGGTGAGGTCAAATCAGGTGTGGGTTGTGTCAAATGAGGGTCTTGTGCTGGGTCTCCTGATGGATCAGGTGTGGGTCACAAGTGAGGGTCTTGTGATGGGGTCACATCAGGTGAGAGTCATTGGGAGGTGAAGTGCTGGTTGGGGGGGTTGCATGGGTTGGTTGAGGGTCAGTGCTTGGCTGTGTGGTTGATTTGAATGCTGAGGGGTTCATAGGTTAGTAATAGGTTGATGTGTCTCTGCTGATGGAACTGTTTGTGGAGTGCCAGGCTTCGATAAAACTCATGAGCAGGGCATGACCAATGATTCTTGTATTGCTCCAATCAAATTGGTGCTGTTCGGTGTCAGTGTGGGTAGAGATTGGAGATTTGGGATTGTGGCATTTGGGAAGTATTATGGGCTTGAGTGCTTTCTGAGCTTGATTGTTTGCTTGCAGATGTTTCATCTTCATTCAGCATAATGAGAACATTACCTTGTTATGTTTGAACCACCATACTTTGTAGCATAATATGAATGTACCCCATAATTTTTCCTAGAGATGTTTGCTCCAATTTTCATTCATTTCCCACCACCATTCACTACTGCCTTTTCCCAAGTTTGAACCCCCCCATCACAACTCATCCAGTCCAGCACTACTGAGAGATTAGTACTTACTCAAGGATTTCATTATATTCAATAGTCTCCTCCAAATTCTGCAGGTTGGGATTGACACTACGTATCGCTCGCATGTATGCTTTTAACAACTGTATGTCCCGTTTCTGCAAAAATTGATATTACATTAACATAACTAAAAGGACCCAGAGACTACCCTTCATCAATAGAAAAAAAATCACAATATATATTGCACACAGCTTAATTTACTATAGTAGTTATCATTCTAACATTTATTAATGCTCAAAGCTGTACACACTGACAGCAATGCAATGCAAAGGGAGATTTGAACTGCACTGGGTGTCCTATGACCCATCAGCAACTCCTTGAACAAAGTTACCTCTTTTCCCACACTTGGATTTTGGGTCCAGGACACAGGTCGGCAACCTGCGGATCCGGAGCCGCATGCAGCTCTTTGAGCCTTCTTCTGTGGCTCCCAGCCTCTTCTGCCATTTGCAGAGAGAGACAGAGACAGAGAGAGGCACTTGCGCTCCCCCCTCTCTTTGTGTGTGTGTGTGTGTGTGTGTGTGTGTGTGTGTGTGAAAAAGAGAGTGGCCTCACCCTGTTCGAGGAGCTGACAAGCTTATTGGGTGGGGCTCCTCCCTTTGCTGCGTCTCTGCAGGAAGCAGGAAGCAGGAAGGGGAGGAGAGAGCCAGCCTGTTGCAGAACAGCTTGAAGCCAGCTTGCCAGGTGAGCAGAAGATCAGAGAGAGGGAGGGGGGGAGAGAGAAAGAGAGAAAGAGAAAGAGAGAGAGAGCAAAGAGAGGGAGAGAGAGAGAAAGGGGGAGAGGGAGAGAAAGAGAGAGGAGGGGGAGAGGAAAGAGAGAGGGGGGGAGAGAAAAGAGAGAGGAAAGAAAGAGAGAAAGAGGGAGAGGAAAAGAGAGAGGAAAGAGAGAGGGAAATAGAGAGAGGAGAGAGAGGGGGGGAAGCGCAAGTGCCTCTCTCTCTCTCTCTCTCACACACACACACACACACACACAGAGTGGGTGAAGAGGACTGGCAGACCAAGGGCAGAAAGAGAGGGGGGGAAGGGAGGGAAAAAGAGAGAGGAAGGGAGGGAGGGAGAGAGAGAGAGACCCTTTTGACATCTAAAATAAAGATAACACTGCATATATCCTTTTTTACCTTTATGATACACACACACACACACCTATAATAAAGGTAAAAAAGGATATATGCAGTGTTATCTTCATTTTAGATATCAAAAGGGTTTTGCGGCTCCCAGTGTTTTGTTTTCGGTGGGAAACGGGTCCAAGTGCCTCTTTGAGTGTTTTGGGTTGCCTACCCCTGGTCCAGGAGAAGGCATATTTGATTCAAAAAGATCCAGACAGGTTCTATGTCACTTTCTCCCCACATATTAAATCATGTTTGAGTCCAGAATGCTGCACAATGCTAATATGCGTATCCAAGGAATACAGGTAGTCCTCGACTTGCAACTATTTGTTTACTGATTATTTGAAGTTACAACACTAAAAAAGTGACTTACAACTGATCCTCACACTTACAATCATCGCAGTATCCCCATGGTCACGTGATCAAAATTTGGCAGCTGGCATGTATTTGCGACAGTTGTGGTGTCCTGGGGTCACGTGATTGCCATTTGTGATCTTCCCAGCCGTCTTCCAGCAAAGTCAATGGCGTAAGCCCGATCACTTAACAACCACCTAGGTCAGGGGTAGGCAACCTTGGCTCTTTTATGACTCCTGGACTTCAACTCCCAGAATTCCTGAACCAGCCATGCTGAGGGAAAAGGGAGAGATTTCCAAGCTGAGCCATGCTGGCTCAGGAATTCTGGGAGTTGAAGTCCACGAGTCATAAAAGAGCCAAGGTTGCCTACCCCTGGCCTAGGTCATTTAACAACTGCAGTGATTTCCTTAACTGTGGCAAAAAAGTTGTAAAACTGGGTGCAACTCATTGCTTAACAATGGAAATTCTAAACAATGGCACAATTGTGGTTGTAAGTCAAGGATTATCTGTACACTTAATCCTCAACTTACAACACTGTCTGGTGACCAAAGTCACAACAGCACTGAAAAGAAGTGACTTATAATTGGTTTTCACGCTTACGACCATTGCAGCATCCCTGTGGTTAAGTGATCAAAATCCAGATGCTTGGCAACTGTCCCGTATTGATGACCCAGTGTCCTGGGTTCATATAATCATCTTTTGCGACCTTCTGACAATGGGGAAGAGCCAGGTTCACCTAACAACCATTCCACTAACTTAACAACTGCAATGATTCGCTTAACAACGATGGCAAGAATGGTTAAAAAAATGGCAAAACTTAATTTAACAACTATCTTGCTTAGCAATGGAAATTTGGGGCCCAACTGTGGTCCTAAGTCACGGACTACCTGTATTCACAATTAGACACATTTTCACTTCGGTATAAGCTGTACAAAGAAACTTTCTAAAAATACAGCCACATTTTCATCCGTCTTGTTTAGAAAAAGTAAGTGGATCCATAAACCATCTGGCCATTTGACAAAGGAAAGGAAATAAATACCTGCTCAGCTAATTGATGCTTGTGTTCTGCAGACGTCTTTTCCAATTCAGCTATTCTCGTCTGTTGTTGCTGCACTACTGACCGTAAATGTTTTATACAGTTGTGATTCGGCAACTCATCTTTGGGCATTTCCAAGCTGCACAGAGAAGTAACTACAATTGAGTGCCTAGAAAAAACTATTTAGGTGATAAGCAACCAAGAACAGAGGTAAAAGACTCTACTCTAAGAAAACTGAGCCTGACATTAAAGAGCCTCCCAAACTACCAGCAATTGTGCAATTTGGTTACACCTGATGCATCACAAAAGCCATTTTGTATTGAGCTTTGACAAAACAGATCATGCTATCATGTGTGATCTTTATTTATCATCAGACAAGCAGAGAACTATGACACTGCTGTGTCACGATCAGACCTACATAAATTTGGCAAATACTCACCCGCACCCCTGTTCACAGGTCACAGGCCGCTTTGGATTGTGTTCGCAGTCATTGAGGTGAGACATCAGGTTGTCGAGCCGCACTACAGCAGTGCAACCAAAAACAGCGTTGTCACAGGTGATTTGCAGCTTAGATAGCATATTACGCATGATCCGGGGAACAGGGCGCAGGTGAGCCACAGTCACAACACTTCGGTCGACAGGACACGTCTGCTGTTGGGAGAACCACTGGGTGATACAGGCATTGCAAAAAGCGTGCTCACAATGAGGCGCCTGCGTAAAGAACAGAACCAAGCACGCCAGTTTAGATTACATCGAGTTTGCTGCTCAAGTTGATGTGGGCTCTTAGCTTTCCGTGCAGTTTCTTTCACTGAGTGCTTTTCACTAACAGAATTGGAAATAGGACAGAACATCCATCGATCAATTAATGTGACCAAGCAATCAGGGGCCATATGAAAACACCAGTTCATTCTGGTTGTAACTTACCAGGTTCTAATGTAGTGAGAACCTATCAGGAAAAAGATATAAAAACCACCCAGCATAATTATTCACCTCCAGGTGTTAATCTCTGTCCTTCACATCAATCCTATTACAGATTACCCCGTATTGTTCCAATTCTGGATTAGTATAAATAAATATGAGAAAAGTTACTTCCTTGTATAGTGCTCCAATATACTCTCAAAATAGAGAAAAATGATTTGATATGTACATCCCAAACATACATCCCCAAATAGATAGTACAAAGTCAAGCCTCTAAATATAGCACAGTTGTCATTCCAGCTCTTTTTCCAAGTAAAATTTATTCACACATTAATATACTTCACAAGCTTAGTTCTTTGTCTCACAGCTCTACTTCCAAGTTGTTTGGAGGAAATGAAGATGATTAATTTCTTACAGAATGAATCAGTTTTCTACAGCTAGTCCTCAACTTACAACAGGTCACTAAATATTCAAAATTATGGCAGATCCCACCAAAGGTATTTACAACCTGGACTTTACTTCTGGTTTTTTGAAATGCCCACGCGCAGCAAAAAATTGCTCTGGCGGTCACTTTATGGCCATCACAAAAACGAATGTACAAACAGGTCCAGTCTTGTGGTGACCTGCTTTACAACCATCACAACTTATCACAGTAAGGGGCAAGCTCCATTACAGATGCTAAGTTGAGAACCTGAAGTTCCCATACTACTTTCAGTTCTACAATAAGGTTCCTACGGTTTTTTCTTGGGCTGTCTCATATGCAGCATATAATAATAATAATAATAATAATAATAATAATAATAATAATAATAATAATAATAATAATTTAATTTATATACCGCCCTTCTCCCGTAGGACTCAGGGCGGTGCACAGCATATTAAAACAGATACAAACAAAATACATCAAAAAACAAAAAAACCCCATAAAACCAAATTAAAAGCCAAATATTGGAAGCTGTGTGTCAANGGAGATCCGGAATCATCCGGATCTCGGGGGGTAGTTCGTTCCAGAGGGTGGGGGCACCCACAGAGAAGGCCCTCCCCCTGGGGGTCGCCAGCCTACATTGCTTGGCCGACGGCACCCTGAGGAGGCCCGCTCTGTGGGAGCGTACCGGTCTATGGGAGGGAATCTGTGGCAGAAGGCGGTCTCGGAGGTAGCCAGGTCCCTACACATATGCTGCCCGGAGCTAAACTTTGCTAAACTTATACTTTATGCTCCAAAGGAAGCTGCATAAGAACCACCAGCTGAAAATCAGAAGACTACAAATTTAATAAAGTGTCTCTGCAATAACAATCTGTCCAAATGTCTGTTTTCCTTTAAAGAAAGAATGCAGCTACATAGCAAGACACTCATAAAACGTAATAATTACATTGGGGCAAGGACACTGTTTTATCATGGCTAAACTACAAATATTACAGAGCAATATTAACTCAAAGCAATATTCTTGTGATTTTAGTCTCCATGATTTGCAATGCAGTTTTTAGCAGATAAATTTTGACCCGGAACTGAAGAGACGCAATGTTCCCTTTGAGTCTCAACTTCAATCTTCTCTCAAGCACGTGAGCTATCCTTTTTGATAACAGTTATGTGTAAAGTTGCAACGCCCATCATCCTCAACTGGCTGAATCTGCTTGAAATAATAGTCTGATATATTAAGAGGGTTTGATGGAGGAACCTGGTATAAACGATCCTGAGACAGACAGACCAGCGAAATCAGCGGTGCAAAAGAAAACTAATAGGATAGTTAAGACATAGTTCTGGGATCGAGCAAAACCAGGTCCAAGTCAAGAAGCTCACTGGTAACACTGAGATAATCACCGTTTTCAGTCCAACCTGCCTCTCAGTGTAGTTGCTATGAGGAAGAGCTCATATAGGACACATAAAAGCAGCATCGGGTTTCATAATATGATGAAGAAAAGAAAACAGCATCCTATGTTTCCATGAACAGGAGAAAATTCTACTGAACTCTTCGTGCAATTCATACAAGGAAGAACAAATGTTAAAAATGTCCTAAGCATAACTGGGTTAAATGACCAGAATATTTTTCAGAATATTTTTTTTTTAGCTGTGAAATTCTGCACTAACCCACTAACATGCTTAATACTTGCTAAATGAAGTATCGGGGTGCTGTCATCTACTAATTCTATCAAATTACATTCTTATACTTGCACTATGTAGATCTTGAATTATGGCTTCACAGTTCATTTTACAGCACTGTCATAAAAACTACCCCTTAGCAAAAAAAAAAAGAAAGAAAAGAAAAGAAAATAACGATACAGAAAGCACCATAAGATAGTAAAAAGAGTCGGCTCAAGTTTACAGTATAAAAAAAACACATTCTTTTACCTAGTTTTTATCTTTTTAAGATTGTAAATCGTCCAGAGTTACCTTATGGTAAGATGAGTGGCCAATACATTTTACAAATAAATAATAAATATTTACATTTAAGTCCCCTTTGCAGGAAGAATTTATTAATAATTCATGAACACAAATGCTCCCTATAATAGCTAGCAATGATTGGACCTGAGCCATTTAATTATTTTTAAATCGCCATGTGAGATACAGATTTTTTTTACTTCAGCAAAGCAAAATTAATGTAGTTATTAAAAACTATTTACATTTATGACTTCGTTATTTGGCAACCAATTATTTATCTTGCATATTAAGGAAAAAGATGCTTCATATGGCATTAAGCTGATGATAGCCAGAAGCGAAGATTAATATATACTTACAACCCCCGACAGGAATTCCACATTGCTCATGAATTATGCTGATATATTCAAGTCTATGCTTATGGTAATGGAAACTTTTGTTGTGTCACACTTGATCTTAGCCAAAAGGCCAAGAAGCCAAAGCTGTCTCATACCACTCACTATATTCTTTCCATTAACCTTACAGCACAAGTATTGAATGAACAGATTTTGAAGGATAGGTTAGACTGCATAAATACTGCAATAACCAGGGCTTTTTTTCAGCCGGAACGCGGCGGAACCGCGTTCCGGCACCTTTTTCCGGGCCGGCCGCACCGGAAATAGCCCCTCCNACACCGGAAATAGCCCCTCCCAAATTTTACTTGCATTCCTGTTCTCTAAAGGGGCGGTCCTAGGGTTTGATGAGGGCGTGGCCAGGTTTGAGTTCCGCCACCTTTTCTCCGAGAAAAAAAGCCCTGGCAATAACCAAAGAATTATCTAAGAAAAATATTTTCACTCATTAATGGAAAATGATCCTAAAGATGCAGTTGAGTTTTTAGCTGCTACAAGAATGAAGTACCCTGCCCTTCAATGCAAATCACTATGATTTCTACTTTCTTACAAAAATGAGAATAAAGGGTATAAAAATTCAGAAGGAAGGTTGTCCCTTAATGATGATCTGAAAATAGGCCTTATACAGAATCAAGCCAGCTATGTGTTCTTCGCAAGTAATGAGAAACTGCTTACTCACAAGTAAACAAACCCCTTTTATTAAACCAGGCAGGAATAATCTTTGTTCACATTGGGTAGACAAAACCAAAACAAGTAGCCCCAAAGGAAAGTCTTTTCCCCTTCTGAAACAGGGCAAGAACCGTCTCTGTTCACATAAGAACTCCAGATAATAAGTCTTTCAATGATTAACGAAGCAGAAACAGTCCCTGTTCACACCGGCTGAGACAAATTCACTTGTCTATTAGTTCCCAGCAGGGAGATTCAGTTGGCACCTCAAATACAGAGCAAGTCATCCCGACAAACCTGGGTCTTGGCAAAGGAATCTGACTTGATCGATGTATCCTGGAAAACAAATGGTTGTCTGCAACAACAGGCCACTCCCAAACCCCTACTACTTATTTCCCAGCCAGGGAGGGGCTGGCTAATGTCTACTTCTTCTTTTCTCTGAGAGCCGGCTTATTGCCTTCCATTGCTCTCCTCTCTACGTATCTGGGACAGACCCCATCTGTTACTCCCCCTCACTCAATTCAAGCCCCGAAGACAGCTGCCTCTCTGCCTGGGCACGGACAGACGGCCCCGGCTCTGCATCTGATTCTGCTTCCTCATCAGAGCCTTCCAAAAGCTTTGAAGTTGACCCAGGCTCCCCCCCTCCATCTCTTCCTCCTCCTCATCTGACTCTGCTGCTAGCTCTGCTGGCAGCCGACAGACCACACCGACATATTTGGTTTTCATAATATATCGAAATATTTAAAAATTACCGTACTTTTTACAACTGATACTAGCTTAAAACCCAATTTTTAAAACAATTACCAATTATGTAATAGAGGTTTATTTCTATACTATTTATTATGTTCCTACACTCTATTTCATCCTGTACTTTGAACTATGTTTGTTAAAGCTAGTTCAATCAGTTACACAGATTCAACATGTAGAAATCCACTTGATTGTGGGATAAAATCTCCATGAAAAATACTCAAACACAATCAAGACCTTTGTGCACTGAGCATTGATACTAAACAGAATATTTACACCAATATCAAATGCGAGTCTGAAAGATATTAACATAATCTATGAGTTTAACATATTTATCCATGGAAGAGACTGTCTACCTGAGGGCTTTCTGCCTGAGCACCATTTTGGCTCTCACCTCTTTGCAGCCAACTTCTATTGGAGAGAGATTTGCCCACGTCTGCAGATGTCACCAGAGCATTTAAGGATGTTCAGTGCAAAAATGCAAATAGATCTGTTCTGCAGGGAAGGGTCCTTGGTGCAGCTTTGCAAAAGTCATTTTGTTTTAGCTTGCCTTCCACTTAAGAGACTCCCCAAATAAGTAATTTTAGACAGATATGCAATGTAGATAATTGCTATTTAGCCTCACTCTAAAGCCGGGATGGGTAACCTGTAGCTCAGTGATGGCGAACCTTTTAGAGACTGAGGCCCAAAAACTGGCCCCACCCCTGCTTCACCCCCTGCCCCGCCCCTGCCTCCCATCCCCTGCCCCGCCTGCCCACAGGGCCACTCACCACCTCCAGGGCCCACCACAGATCGCCCAGGCAGCCCAGCAGCGCAGGGCAAGCTGCTATTTATCACGCCCTCTGCCCATGCCCTGCAGCATCGACTGTGCATGATGGGGTGTGAGGGCAGAGTTTTGTCTATGCTGCCTGGCTGCCATGTCCTTGGCTGCGCTGCTCCATGTGGGCCACGCTCAGGGGCGACTCTCCTTCAGGGGGGCTGCTGGAGAGGAGGGGGTCATGGGGGGAGGCAAGGCTGGGGCAATGGCATGTGTGCCCACAGAGAGGGCTCTGAGTGCCACCTCTGGCACCCGTGCCATAGGTTCGCCACCACTGCTGTAGCTCATTGGCTATATGTAGCTTCCAGATCATTGTTATGGAGTTACGATCTTCTGCTCCCACTTTCAAAATTTGGCTATAACTTCTACAAAATTTAGCAATGTAATTGTCCAGGTGTAAAAAAAAAGCAAGCAAAATAAGCTTAATGCTTTTATTTTAGGACACAACACAAACAAGAGACCAACGTTTTCAGCCCTACCTTTTCCAAAAAGCCACATAAGAAGACATGTAAGGAGAGCAAGTGGGGTAAGGAATAATAGTCCCTGCCAGTTCCTGTGCAAAAATAAATTCACCTTCCAGGAATTTTAGTTCTCCTAAATATGGAGTGATAAATATCAATAAAGTCTGTTATTCAAGTTCAGGTAGTCCTCAACTTACAACAGTTCGCTTAATGACCACTCAAAAATTACTACGGCATTGAAAAAAGTTACTTATGACCATTTTTCACACTTACAACCATTGCAGCATCCCCATGGTCATCAAAATTCAGATACCTGGCAACTGACTCACATTTATGACGGTTGCAATGTCCTGAGGTCACGTGATCCCCTTTTGCAACCTTCTATGACAAGCGAAGTCAATGGGGAAGCCAGATTCAGTTAACAATTGTGTTACTAACTTAACACCTGCAGTGATTCATCTAACTGTGGCAAGAAAGGTCATAAAACGGGGCAAAATTCACTTAACAACTATTTCACTTAGCAACATAAATTCTGGGCTCAATTGTGGTCATAATTGCAGGACTACCTGTACAGTATCTATAAGGTCACTGTATTTTGGTTGAATTAATGTTAAGGTTGAATACTGCAGCCACACAATGGTCATATTCACAGTAATGCACAAAGTTTGGTTAGCGTTAAGTATGCCCACAAACACTTTTTCTAGGGCACCACAGCTATCACACCACCTGTCTGTAGTTTGCTTGCTGTTAAATTATTGTGCTAATAATACAGATGCAGCTATGGCTAGAAGTGCTGTACATCCTGTTTTTAGACAAGTTGCTTAATTATAAACAAATAATATATGAGTGTTTCTATAGCTGTACTATGTGAAAGAGTGGGGGAGGAGGCGTTGGCAAGTTTATTCACATTCACTAAGCCTTACAAATGACTGTATATGCAATCGTAGTTCTGCCAACAAATGCCATTTTTAAACTTGCAAAGCAAGCAAGCTATTCAAAACCATTTAGCTAAATCCATATTTTCAAAGAAACCTTGCCCCCATCCCCCCCCCAAAGAAGAAATAAATCCCTACATTATTGATAAAAAACTGTACTATGCTATATAGCAGGAGTCCCAACCCCCGGTCTGTGAACCAGTACCGGAACGCGGCATGCCAGCAACTGGTCTGCACAAACGAGCAAAGCCCCATCCGTGAGATGCAGGCAGCACACAAAACCACGCCACCTCCGGTCCGTGGAAAAATGTCTCTCCACGGAACCAGTCCCTGGTGACCAAAAGGTTGGGGACCTCTGCTATATAGTAAAAAAAGGTAAAAGTTTCTCCTTTCCAGTGATGACTGACTCTAGGGCACGGTGCTCATCTCCGTTTCTTGGCCGAGGGGGCCAGCATTATCCAAAGGTCATGTGGACAACATGGCTATATGCTAAAAGTGCACAGAACCCTATTACCTTCCCCACTGAAATGGCACCTATTAATCTACTCGCATTTGCATGCGTTCAAACTGCTAGGTGGGCAGGAACAGGCCAAGGAACAGGAGTTCACCCCGTTGCACGGTCCTCAAATCTCAAACCTGAGCGGTCACCTTTTCAGCTGACAAACTCAGCATCTTTAACTGCAGTACTTAAGGTTAAATCATTTATCATGGTTGCATGTCGCAAATACATATGTATTTTCCATCTATTCTAGAAATAACCTGGGAGACTTCCCTCGTTCTTTCTGAAGGGATGTGCAGAGTGGAAAAACTACAGTCAAAAATCACAAAGTCACTCTACACGAAATGGCTTGCTCTTTAATCCTTTTAGATCAATTACTATTAACCATTTCATACAAATTAAGCCTTGCAAAATCACATGCTTTTAGATTCCACGGGAGTGATTTAGAAATTGCTTTGAATAACTATTTTATTTCTGGACCTCTAAACATAATACAATGCACTTGACAGGAAGGAAAGTTGCCTCTTGCAGAGACAAAAAACAAATGGACATATAGAAAGACAGTTTTATTCAAATTTGCCCAAAAGGAAAGCGATATTAAATTTAAGACACGCACCTTAAGCATAACACATACACTCCATTGTTTGCATCTGTTATTCTCTTCTCAGCAAACTAAATATAACTTTCTCATTGTAAAGGCAAATTAACGAGAAAAACAGTTAAGGCAAGCTTTCTGAAACAGCAAATACCGTACTGCTTTTCTGTATGGATAGTCGTACCTCAACTTAGAATATGTATTTTTATGAAGGCAGCGGTAAACAGAAACACCTATAAGATTAACTGTTACTTTGCAATATCGTGATAAATTCTTAACATCTTCTTGACCCAGTAAGTTTTGTTAGCTTTTTTTGTGTGTATGCTTTTGAATCACTATTGACTCTTGGTGACTGCCTGGACGAGCTCTCATATTTCTTTGCTATAGGTTGAAAATTGTTATTACCACATTGTATGAATCAACTAAAGCTTATACAGAGGATTACATAATTATGACTTATTTTTGTATAACATCCACAACTTTAATTTCTTATATACTTTACATATACACTTATGAACTTATATCAAAACTTTTCAAGAGTAGATAAATATTTTCTCTCTCCCTTATATTAACTTAGTTTTACGTTTTGCTTTGGAAAACTAGTGCTGATAAACTAAATAAGCTTGACAATTATTAGCATATTGTGCTGCAATTTTCAAAAAGAAAAATTATTTTTCTGAACAAAAAGTTTAAACCTGGACATTTGGCTGAAGCAGTTGAACCGAAATAGAAGATAATAATTTAAGAGTGTTTAAATTAACATTTAACTACAATATATTTATTATTACATTCATATTCTAGCTTTAATCCAGAAGCTCAAGCAGCATACAAGTGCACCCACCTCCAATTCCCCCTAAAGCCAACAGTTTGTGGGAATAGATTGGGCAGAGAGAGTAACTAGCTCAAAGTTCCACCGTGTCTTTCAATGGCTAAGAGTGGACTACAACTTGGGTCTCCCCATTACTGGCGCAACAGCTTAATCACCAGACTGTGCTATGTTCCTCTATATGAGTAAGAAGGACTTAGTACACAATTGCTATATAAAACCTGTATGCAAAATACATATTAATTTAGTTAGTCTTTACCACCTACCTGCACTGGCTCCTCCAAAACCCCACTACAGATGGGGCAAATAAGATCTTCATCAACATCCCCTTGAAAACGTGCTACATCATACCCCATTTCTCGTCACCGATGCCAAAACACTAGAAAAAAAAAAGCAGGAGGAAGAAAAATTATGTATTTGAAATTTTCATGATAAGAAGCTCTAATCATGTATTTCAGTATGTTATTTGGATGGAATCAGTTAGAAATCCTTCGTCTAACCAGGTTGCCTGCCTACTAACCTGATGTGGCTGCATGCTTCAAAGAGAAGCTTCAAGCCTCTAAGGAACAGGATGTGGCACAGCAGAGAAAGAACAACTTGACTCAGCCCCATTTCTCTAGGATTAATTTTCCACAGTTTTACTAGGGCCAGGCTATTACTACCAGATTAGATACTTCACACTATGTTATTATTCACTTCTTCGCTTGCATTTTTATATACAATAATCCTTAACTTATATTCATTTAGTGACCGTTCAAAGTTAAAACAGTACTGAAAAAAACTGGCTTATGACCATTTTTCACTTATGACCACCGTAGCGTCGTCATTGTCACATGATCAAAATTCAGACGCTTGGCAACTGGCATGTATTTATGACGGCCTGAGGTCATGCAATCACCTTTTGTGACCTTCTGACAAACAAAGCCAATAGGGAAGCCAGATTCACTTAACAACCGCGTTGCTAACTTAACAACTGCAGTGATTCACTTTAACTGTGGCAAGAAAGGCCATAAAATGGGGCAAAACTCACTTAACAACTGTCTTGCTTAGGAATGGAAATTCTAGGTTCAATTGTGATCGTAAGTCGAGGACTATCTATCTTCCACATTCTTCTGTTTTTGCAGGAACCAGAATATACAGGTATCTAGTCCCTAGCTTTAGAGCAAATGACAGTGTAAATACTGAAGGGGGAGGAGTTCTGGAAATCTGAAACTGAACATTTAATGGTGGATCAAGGTATTTCTTGCTATCACCTTGCTGAAAAAAAGAATTAAATCAAGCCACTTCTAATGTCAGGGTGAAATATACATCTTTGCTCAGGTGACACTACTCCTCAAGTGTATACACAGTATAAATCTTTCCCCTGAATGCTATTCAGAAGAGTTTTCGAGAGTACATTAAAAGTAGACTTTGCTTATTCTCTTAGGACTAACTTGGCACAACTATCTGCAGACATTTTTTTATTAGTAGTTGGGATATTTTTGAATAGCTTGGGATGATTCATTTAATCCTTTTTTTCCTAACATCTCAGCAGGATTTATCTTTCTCTGTTCAGTCACCTCTTCCCTTCATCTATGCTGTCCTCCTCCCCTTTCTCTTTCCTTCCTTTCCCAGTGTTCTCCATTCTGCCTTTTTCCCTTCTTTTTTCTATGTCTGCTAGGAGAACGTGCATTTATTTGCATGTGTATGATTAGTGTATGTAAGAAAATTGTTAGTATCTGCAGACACAGAATCAATTCAGTTTATAAAAGGGGTACTTTTCACTTCAGCAATACTGACAGACAATCCTGCAGAAATGGGAGCCATGAGATCAGAAAGTAGCAAAACTCAATAAAGAACTGGGAAAAATTGGTGACCCGCGTATAAGCCGAGGGGGCATTTTCCAGCA